CACCATAGGGCTGGGCGATATGTCCTGATAATTATTAGGACATATCGCCCAGCCCTATGGTGTATGTATCAAATATATACACCATAGGGCTGGGCGATATGTCCTAATAATTATCAGGACATATCGCCCAGCCCTATGGTGATATGTCCTGATAATTATTAGGCTATATCTCTATATTTTAACTTATCAATGCTAGGACTGGGAGACACAGTAGACCATAACAATATTTTGGTCTTAATACCTCCTCTGATGCGACAAAGTTGTGGAGATAATTACCATTTGTTTGTTTTTTCCAGAAAATGTTAACATAATTAGATTTCTGATCAATAACCATAATAATGCGAATATAATGAATGAGTGGGTTAAAACAAGCATTAAAACAAATACAGAAGTCCACTAAGCTGATACATTCACATCACTTTACTATACTGCAGCCTTTAAAATGAGGGAGAAAACACCATTTATGCCACATCACGATACTAGTATAACCAAAATCTAAGACGATATATAGTTTCATATCTCTGTAACGATTTAATATCTTCATATTGCCCAGCCCTAATACACATTTCTATAATTTACAAACACAATTCATTTTTATAACTCCTGAAATTGAAATGTTGGAGATGCTGTTTTGACATAAGTTTGAAGTGATCTTTAATACTGTCTTGCACAATATACACTGGCAATGAATTTCTCCTGAGCATGACCGTCTTCTGCATCATACTTGTTTTAGCATTGGGTAGCAGCAAAATTTTTACTGTTGCATATGGTGTCTGAAAATTGTGTTTAATTACCTTTCACTTGATATCTTTGATGGTTGTGTCACCAGGGCATTTCTGGCTGTTAATTAGTTTAAACATCAGTATGTCAGGTTTTTGTTTGTGGCAAATAAAGTATGTGTTTTTAAAGTGAGCAACAAACACTGACAGACACTATCTCTGTGTCCCTGGTTGTGTTTATTACTCCAACAGGAGACAATGGCTAACAAGAGCCAGACTCAGCAGGTAAAAATGCCGACAGCGGAGTTTCGACACGTAACGATGAAGAAACTCCGACAAAGCCAGACACCTCTTTAAACCTGTAACCTGAGCTTTTCGTTAGACCCTTTATCAAATCATTAACTAACAGGTCAAAGCTGTCAGCGGCTTTTTTATCTAACTTTAAAGCTAACGCCACTAGCCTGTTAGCTAATGCTGCGCTAAGTTTTAATGAGCTAACTTCATAGCTACAGAGAAAAGTATCATGCTAACTTCGAGTTTACCTGAGTCGACCTCCATCGTTCCCGTTTCTGAACAGACAATAACTATTTCTTGGGTAATAATATTAGCTGGAAATGAACATGGCAGACTTTGTCAGCTGGAGTTGACTGTCGGTTGTCAGGAAGACAACACAGCCTTTCCCAGAGACAACTTCCTGAATGTGGATCAGGAGCAGCTCAGACCTCAGTACTACTCTCACTGTGTTACTGTGCCTTCATTTCTGACCGTCTGCTTTGCTGGTTTTAATTTAAATTATTCATTATTTATTATTATGTTAAAGTCCTCATCTATAAAGTTGTGTCAGATTATTTTTTTTAAAAAAGAGGAAAATTAAATAGCTTGTCTGAAATGGTTAAAAATGTACTGTAGTGTTTATTGCTCCAACAAAAAGCTGGGATTCTTGTGAGAGACATTAAAATAAAAATGATTAAAACTAGTGCAGCAGAGTTTGAGCTTTGGTTGTATCCTACAGTTCCCATTATGGTTGCAAGATATACAGTAAAACTGACGGTTATCATACCCTGTACATTTGCTTATCTAAGATATATATATATATATATATATATATATTTTTAAAAATGCAACTGGATGGAGAATCTCTATTTTAGTTATTTTCAAAAGGGAGACTTTTTACACAAACTTCCATTTTAACAAAATGGTTTCAAGTTTCAGTTATAGTTATAAAATGTTTGTTCAACCAAAAATAACCCTCTCTGTTTTCATTCCTTTAAGGGTCATTTTGACTTATAATAATAACAATAATAATAATAATTCTGTAACACTGTGATACCATGAAACCGCAGTGTTTTTGAGACAACTATCATACAGTGAAAGACACATTAAAAATAAAGATAACACATTAAGAATAAAATGATTAAAACTAATGCAGCAGAGTTTGAGTTTTGGTTGCAAAATGATTCAAACTCCAGAAACATTGTGTCCTACAGTTCCCATTATGGTTGCAGCGTTTTACCGGTTTTAAGGTGTACTGTGATATCAAAATTGACACTTATCATACCCTGTATATATGCTTATCCATGATATTAAAAAAATGCAACTGGGCAGAGAATCTCTAATTTATTTTAGTTATTTTCAAAAGGGAGACTTTTTACACAAACTTCCATTTTAACAAAATGGTTTCAAGTTTCAATTATAGTAATAAAAAGTTTGTTCAACCAAAAATAACCCTCTGTTTTCATTCCTTTAAGGGCCATTTTGACTTATAATAATACTAATTCTGTAACACCCTGATACCAAAAACAGCAGTATTTTCTGAAACAGTTATCATACCATGAGACACATTAAAAATAAAATTAATTTAAACTAATGCAGCAGAGTTTGAGTTTTAGTTGCTAAATGAGTCAAACTCCAGAAAAAAAACATGGTATGCAGCGATATACCTGTTTTATGGTGCACTGTGGTATTAAAACTGATGGTTATCATACCCTGTATATTTGCTCATCTTCACCACTGGAAAAAAATGCAACTGAACAGAATTTCAACATTATTTTAGTTATTTTCATACAAAAACTTTTTACACAAACCATTTTAAGAAATTATTTCAAGTTTCAATTATAGGAATAAAATGTTTGTTCAATCAAAAATAACTCCTCTGTTTTCATTCCTTTAAGGGTCATGACTGATAATAATGATAATTCTCTAATACCATTATACAGTGAAACTGAAATACTTTCTGAGACGGTTATTGTACCGTGAAAATCTCATACTGTTGCAACTCTAGTTCCCATTTTGTAGAAGAAGAAGAAAATATACTCTATTAATCCCAGAGGTGAAATTATTTTTTTCACTCTGTTGTCATGTACATGCCCGAAATACACACACATGCACAAACAAGACCATTGCATTAAATGGAGAGATGTTAAAGTGAGGGGACTGCACATGGACAAGTGCCTCGAGCACATCGATGCCTTGCTCAGGAGCACCTTGGCAATGCCCAGGAAGCGAGCAGGCACCTCTCCAGCTACCAGTGTACACTCCATATTTAGTCTGTATGGGTACTGGAACCAGTGACCCTCCGGTTCCCAAGCCAAGTCCCTATTGAGCTGAGCTGCTGCATTAACACCAAATCTGGCATTGCAGTGATTATCAGGAGGGATGTGTGGGAGGGTCACTTGTCATTAAGCCTACTGTAGTATCTCCCACAAAAGACACGTGTGCAAACACAAAGCAGGTGCTCTTCTTTGTAGGATAGTAGTCTAAAAGCACTGTTAGAACACTTTTATTTCTTTTATTCACTATAATATCTAATGATAGAAAGAGACAGTATTTCTTGTTCCTCAGACTGCAGCTGTCTTTCCATTCTGAATGCTGGTTACATGACTGACCACCACAGCGTGGCATCAGGTTGTGTTTCTGCAAATGTTAAATCGGTTTCAATTTTATGTCCCAGGCCGTGCAGCCCCACCAATGCAGCTTGAATCCACAACCCACATTTACATGAATGGAAGGAGTGGGGTTTTCGCCGCAACACTGGATTTGGTGTGAATACAGGATAAGACCTTCCCTACCAGATAAATGCCCATATCTGTCAAACTCCACCTGTCAGTAACACATGCTATCTGTTATAAAGTGTCATGCTGAGATAACCCCAGTGACATCCTTAGAGTTATTTTTACCTCCACAGACAAAGAAGACATGTACAGCTGTTCTTACAGGCTGTGTCCTAAACTTCATGAGTAGAAGCAGTGGAGTGCATGTTTAAAAGGTTCTGTTTGCAATATTCAGAGCATTTATATAGCAGCAAACCGCAATTTACACTATGCTTATAGAGCAGTTACCGCCCACTCTTCCGTCCTGACTTAACACTGTAGTTTATCAGGCCTTTCTTATTGCAATGACAAAAAGATGGTGAGTTGATGGTGAAGAAAAAGACTCCGCTGATACAGACTTGTATGGATTCATCCTTACAGTCAAAACAACGGAGTCTGGGTGGACAGCAGTCTCTAAAGGCATCCAAAATAATCAGCAGTAATGTACATCTGATGAGCAGACACCTCAACACTGTTGGGTATTTCAGCACCGTTGCCATTGTTTAGTGCTGTTTATGGAGTTAGCACTACTAGCTGCTCGCCACCTCCATGTTGAGAACCGTGTGCAGACAACTCCTATGCTCTATATTTTGAATAGAGCTCCTTTAATGTTAAAGAAAAAGGAGACGAGATGAGAAGAAGCAGCTTAATAAAAGAGCTCAAAATACGGAGCAACAATGCTTTAAATATCCTACAAAATGTAATTGTTTCAAGGGAATAGAAGATTGATGTTGTTATGGTTATGTGGGTGTAGTCTCTGACCTTTACTGATTAAAATCCCTCTTAAAGGGTGCTGGGTTTCGTGCCTTATGTAGCTATCCTGCTGAGGGGATTCCCCTTTAGTTAGTGTGTAATTTACAAGAACACTTCCCTGTAAATGATTTCTAAGAAGGTGGTGGATTTCTATCTAACTATCTATCTATCTATCTATCTATCTATCTATCTTCCATCTCTCTGTAGAAAGCTTCAGTCACTAAGCACCACCACAGGTCAGCCAACAGCAGATACAACATGGCCTATTGGACACCCACTTCAAGTCTGAATACGGATGCCAATTACATTTCAGCCTGAAGGGATTAATTTTTTTCGCCACAACACAAAGGGTCCACGTGGGATTACCATCACCTCTTCTTAAAAGGACATTGTGTAACATTTTCAGTTGTTTATTGGCAAAAATTGATGTCTGCATTCATAAATATGTCATCACTGTTGTACTATTACCTCCACCAATAATCTGACTTATTCTCGTAAAAGGAGAATTTTGGATTTGTTTGTACATTGTGCGGGTAAGTCGTCTGTGGGGCAGAATATTGGATGAAGGAGTGCGCCATCTGTTTGAATACAAAATATGATTTCAGCGTTAGATGGGAGAAATTCCTACACACTGTGGCTTTAAGCAGTGGACTTTTACCTTTATGAGCTCAGCACACACTTCCTGGTAGACAGCAGGACTTTTTTATCTCACTGCCGGTGGTTCTCAGGCTCATTCACTCCTCGGGCTTCTAAAGAAACACTTTCCTGCCGCTCGACAGCGTTTTATCAGGACTTGCTTCTGTGTTTTCTCTCAACATCACAACACATTTAGCAGGTAAGGCTTTATAACGGAATATATTTTATACAGCCTTGTTCAACTCATGCAATAGTTGTCATCCTAGTGTTGAGCCTTTTTCTCTCTAACTTTAATTTATGATTTGTTGGGCTGTAGTTTTCTGTTCATTGCTATTCAGATTTTCCTACTCTGCCATCCTTCAGTGACTCTGTGTGAGAACCATAGAGCCAGGCTACTACTTGTGGTGGAAACCATATCTGATGTTTGAATTAATGATGAACAGATGAGGATGGGACCAAGAGATTAGATTACACATGCTTACCCCCCAGCAATGTACCTGTCACTCTGAGCACAGAGAGGCACTCGGCCCTTATGTTTAGGCTTTATTAAAGTTGACTTAGCTGGCAGTTACAGCCTCAATACAACATGTCATTAAGGCATATAATCAAACACCCTATTATAGCACACTAAAGAGCATGTGTTTTACAGTGTGTTACTGGAACTGGACGACACAATCACCAACATACTGAAGAGCGACTGGGTGAGCTGAAGGATCGTCTCCAGCAAAAGGATCAATTTGAAGGATCTCATGACAAGTTACAGCAATGGAGGATTCTTCAACCCTGCCTACCATGACAGCGATACTCTGGAAATTGATAGAAGGTTTGTGGTGATATGGAAAATGTGGATTTGTCATTTATCATTGAAAAAACAGAAGCTTCCCTTATTTTAATTTATCCAGGAATGTGTTTGAGTGAGTGCCATGTATTGTTTGTACTTGTAATCAAAGGGCATGTGAAAGAATGGACAGGATGTCCTCAAGGAACACACAGCTGAGTGGAGTTTATCTTGGCTATACCCCAGGCTGTAGGAATGACTCAATTATTTTTTATAATTTGGGGTAAAAACTTTAAGGTCTAAAGTTTCCAAAAAAAAAACATTACACTAAACTTCAGAGGCAAAAACATTAGTCCACTGGTCTCTAATCTTGTACTTCCTTGTAGGATATTATATCACTATAATTACCCATTGGTGCATTACTTGATGAGGTGGGTGTACAA